GATGGAGCTGACTGTTAGAATTCCCAAGGGGGATGCCAGTGTGACTTTGCAAGAGCAGTTGTGTGGGATTGTGGAGATGCAAGCAGCCTGGAGAGGCTTGCAGGAGGGTGAGAGGAGACAGTGAGTACAGGCAATTCATTGAGGCACTTTCCTGAGAAGTGCTGCAGTGAAAAAAAAATTTTTTTTTGCTTTGAGTTTGGAGAAATACAAGTATGACCGCATGGTGCTATAATTAATCTGCCTTTATTTAGCAGGAATCCCAACTTGAATTTTAGACATATAGAAAGCCCCTCCTTTTTTTAGGTACATCTTCATGGATGCAGCATGGTACCAGACAGAGAGTGCTGAACCATGAAGACCACCTTCCAGTGACTCAGGAAAGCAAGCATCACTCCTTGGTAAAGTCATCTGGGTCTCAGTTTCCTGATCTGCAGCGTAAGACGCTGATCTCCAAGGATCCAGCTATGATATGGCATGAATGGGTAACTTGAAAAGCAAGGGAGATCAAAGCTGGGAAAGGCAGTCAATGTCTGCTTGCTTCTTCCATGGGAAATTACGAGTTCAAAGAAAGCACAACTAATGTAAAGTTGTGGGCTTAAGTGTTTGTAGATTAATGCTACTAGAGATTTTGATCAGTTTCCAACTACCGAACCCATCCCCTCATTGAAAAGCATATCCACCGCAGAAATTTTATACAATATGAAAATATAATAATGAACATTAAAATCACCCATTATCCCAACATCTAGAGATAAATGATAGTAACATTGTGGAATCATTTCCTTCAAGCTTTCTATCCATAAACATAATACCGTATTTCCTCTCTTCCCCCAATGAAAAATGCCTCTATAATTGTATCCTGTTTTTTTCAATGACAGCTTCACAAGCATGTTCCCTGCATCACCAAATATTCTTCACTAGTTCTTACAGCTGTTCAATACTCCATCCTAGGAATACACTGTAACTTAGCTGTTCTACGAATGGGCATCTATAGCTACCATAAATAGCGCTGATTAAAGAAGTGTTAGGATGTTCGACTTTGCACGTAAATCTTTGTACTTCAGGCTTCCCTGGTGGTCCAGTGATTAAGACTCCACCTTGCCACACAGGGGGACACTGGTTCAAGTCCATGGTCCAGGAAGACCTCATATGCCTGGGGGCAACTAAGCCCACGAGCCACAACTGCTGAGCCCGTGCTCCAGACTCCCATGCTCCACGAGAGAAGCTGTGGCGATGGGAAGCCCACGCATCGCAACTGGAGGGTAGCCCCCACTGGCCGCAACTAGAGAAAGGCAGCGCACAGCAACGAAGACCCAGCACAGCCAGAAAGGTTTAAAAATGAATAAATAAATAAATCTTTGCATATCTTATTCTTTCTTTGGCATAAGCAACCAGTTGTAGGATTATTCACTGATCCGATGGGTGAAAACATCCCCAAGGCTCTTAGGCATATTTCCAAAAACCACCTTAACACATTTGCCTCTCTTACCTTCCAGAGAGGTTGTAACAATTTACTTCCCTGCCTTCACCCTGTGTGTTGATTGCATCATGCTGTTACAAACCTTGCCTACTTCCTATGATTTCTTTTTAAAAGTCCCCTTTCACTGCATATAAGCCAAAGTTTATTACTTATTAAAACAGCATCATAGGGGGAGTGATTCAGATTCCAGTATATTTTTGTGTGCCTACATGCTCTGGGCACTGTGCCAGATGCTTTCTTGTTTATTCTTGTTTACTGTGAACACCACACCCTTAGAATGTAGGTGGCATCCTTTCCTTGTCCAATCCTAGGAGTCTGTGTTGAAAGACACACAGCTGGGGAATTCCCTGGCAGTCCAGTCAGTAGGATTCTGCGCGCCTACTGCCAAGGACACAGGTTTGATCCTTGCTAAGGGAACTAAGTTCCTGAAAACTGCGAGACACCACCAAAAAAACCCAAAAGACACACAGTTGGTCTGCTGTATGGTCAAGATCGGTACCCAGGGCTCTTGACTCCAAGCTGGGCACTTTGGTATTTACTTATTTTACTATACCTCACCTGCTTCAAATGGCTGAGAATAATCTTTATGACTCTAAGCTATATTCCATTTTATTGTGCATGCTCAGGCCCTCAGTCCGACTCTCTGTGACCCCATGGACTGTAGCCCAGCCAGGCTCCTCTGTCCACGGAATTTTCCAGGCAAGAATACTGGAGTGGGTTGTCATTTCCTCCTCCAGGGAATCTTCCCAACCCAGGGATCGAACCCACGTCTCCTGTGTCTCGTGTTGGCAGGCAGAGTCTTTACCACTGCACCACTTGGAATCAATTTTATTATAAAAGACTATAAGGTATTCACAGCTTACCAGTTTTTTTTTTAAGGTTTGGGGAATAAAAAAATATATCAATTTCTAGAGTCAATGATAATTCTGAAATTCTGCTTTACTAGGAGACATCCTAGTCCCCTGCTTCTTGCCTGGTCAGAGTGAAAGTGGTTCAACAAAAGGTGAGACCAACAGGCTAGGAAGGGGCCAAGCCACTTGTCCTCTTCTTTCCTAGATTGGTTACCAGTGTTTGTAGAGGCTTGAGATGAGCTACAGAAAGTGAGTGATGTTATTTGGATGGAGAGTATCTTCAGGTACTGCAAACCACAGGCAGAACTTGAATCATGTGGGAGGGGCATGAGTGCATGTATTCTTTTGGCAAGCCTTAGGAACCATGAGGCTATATACTTCTATACTTGGTCTTCTGCACAGCACACATTGAAAACTGGCTGTTGGATCTTCAGACACTTGAGACAAGTATTTATAGCAATTTCATGAGGACAAGTCTTTTCATGCCCCAAAACAAATTTTAAACTGTGAACGTTGACCCATGGGTCTTTATTTCTGTTCTCACTATCTGATGTGCTAACAGGACAGTAAAAGTGAGTTGAAGCTGTTCTATTTTCCCTTCATTTCAAAAAGGCCTGGCCGCAGTCTTTAGCTCAGAACAGCTTAATATGGATGTCCTAGGCCACGCCAGTTTTTTTTTTTTTTTTTTCCAGGACACAGTGAGGGTGGACTTGGAAACTGGCATAACATTGAGCTGTGCCTAACTTTCACCCATTGCCGTTCTCCCTATTTCCTGTGTTAGGATGACTTGTAATCTCTCCTGAGGAGCTTTTGGGGGAGGTTCTGCACAATTCCCTGGTTCTTGCTGTGATAATGCAGCATTATTTAAATGCTGGACTCTGCAGACTATAAAAGTCCTGCTCTTACAATGGCTGAACCTGCTGCCTATTTAAGCAGGATATTTAAGCACCATGGTTCAATCCTGTTACAACCCAGAGGAAAGAGGAGGCCCAGAGCAGGCTGACAGCAGGAGAGGCTTCAAAAAACCCCGAGTTTCTCAGATGGTTCTCACTCTGTTTCTGGTCATGGTGGTCTCCTAGAATTGCAGCTGAAAACTCCTGTAACTTTCACGAGCTAGAAAAGCTTCTTTCCAACAGTAGAAAGGCAGGGTGATTAGAAATACTCTGAGGAAAATACTTTGAGAGGGGAAGGGATGGGAAGGACAGAAATGAGAAGCAGTCATAGAAGGCCAGAGACTGGGTGGGATTGGGACCAAAACGGTGGGTGGGGGGAGGGAGGAAAAATTAGCGGAATGGGAAGCTCAGAACAGAAGATATAAAAGAAAGTGCCAACTAGTGAAAATCTTGAGAAAGGATGGGTGGAGGGGGAACCGACGACTGGGGAGCAGTTGAGAAAAATAGCAATTAGTACAGCTAAAAATAAAGACCAATTTAGAGACAAAGCCAGATACACAGGAGGAAAATAGGACTCGCCAGAAAGACAATTCCTCGTAAACCAAATCCTCAAGAAAGTGGGGCTAATGACACCCGCTCTTGGGCTGGTTTGCAGAAGAAAGGAGATAATAGATTCGAGTGGAGCTGGCGGTGCGGGCTGGTGACCGGCGACGGGAAAGGAGGAATCAGAAGCGGAGCTCAGTGAGGCTGAGGGATCTCCAGGGTTGATCGCCAAGGCCCTGCCGACAGGTGCACCACGTGAGTGGCGCCCAAAGTCAGGGTCTCCCGCCAGCCGGCGTGCTGGACAGAGGCATCGTTCCGCGCCGAAACTGGAGGGGGTCCTACGGAATTCCCCCGAGGTCGGCCCTTGGAGCCTCAAGACCAAGGGCAGGAGGCGCCCACGTTTCGGTGCCCGCGCAGCGCGGCCCGGGAGAGGGCGCCCACCGGCGCGGGCTCGGCTCGCTCCGCCCGCGGACATCGCGGCCCGGGGCCAGGCGACGCCCCCGCTGGCTTTCGCGGCCGTGGGAAGGCCCAGCGCCAACGGTGTCGGGCCGGCCGGGGAGCGCAGCTATCCTGGAACCCGAGGGCAAGACGGTGAAGGCCGTGGGCTGCACCTGGGCTTTGCAGAACCACGAGATCTCGGCTTTCCGGTCTCGGAACCAGGAGATGACCCTCACCTGCCGCCCAGCAAAAGCGCGCGGAATCACGAAGCGCAGTGCGCCGGAAGATCTGCGCCCGTTTCTCGGGGCTGCAGGGAGAGGCCGGGAGGCCGGGATGGGCGCTGGAGCTGGGAGCCGGGTAGGGCTGGGCGGGGCTCGGGCGGCATCTCTGGAGAACCCCGCCAGGCGGCGAGGGATCCCCGGGACACGCGAACAGCCAGGGCAAGGCTCCTAAGTCTCGGGCGGCGCGGGCCACTTGCCAACGAGTGCGCGCCTTCTTGGGCTCTTAGCCGGGCTCTTGGACTCCCGGCGTTTGGGAGTCACCCGGGTGCGCCCTGCCCGCCCAGGCACCCCGGGGCGGGACCGCCGGGCCCCCACGGGGGCGGGCCGGTAGGGCGCACGGATCGCGCCACGCGGCGCTTGGCGGGGAAGAGGGAGGCAGGGTGGGGGCCGCGCGCTCCGGGGCGGTGCTGAGCCAGCTCCTCCTCCTCCTCCGGCCTCCTCCTCCTCGCCTTCCTCCGGCTCAGCCGCCGCGCAGCCCGGCTGCTCCTCCTTCCTCCCCGGGGTGCTCGCGGCGATGTTTAACCGCGCAGTGAGTCGACTGAGCAGGAAGCGGCCGCCGTCAGGTAAGCGGCTCCCAGGGCTCCGCGGGCTGGGGATTGGGGCGCCCCCAGGGGCCCCGATGAGCCGCCCGGGCCGGTGCTGCCCGCCCCCCCACCCCGGGCATCCTTCCCTCCTGCCCGGGGTCGGGCGCGGCTCCGCGATGCCCCGGGCAGGAGGCGCCACTTCTCCCTGCTCTGTCCAGCGTCCCCGCAGTCCCAGCCGCAGCGGGAGCGCTGAGTCCCGAGACGTGCGCTGGGGAGGTAGTTTGTCTGAAAGGAGGAACAACAGCCGTTTTCTTTTTAGTGATGGTCTGGGAGAAAAAGGAGATCCAAAACATCCAAACTTTGGAGGTAGTATGGGCTCTAGATTCCGAAAGCAGAACGGAGTTCTGGAGGTCTCCGCCTCCGCTGCGGGCGTTGGTGCGAAAGATGCCAGCGCGGAGCCCGCGGAAGGCACTCCCGGACCCGGGGCATCCGACTGGGTGGCCAGGCCTGGGCTGCTGGGCGTCTTCGGTTCTGCGCCGAGGAGCCGAAATGTAGGGCGGAGAAGGAGGGTGAATACCAGGTGAAGGGCGCATCTGCAGTTCGAGCCAGGAAACAACAGACCTTACAAAGGATTCAGCTTGGCTGTCACTCTGGACCAGCCTGTCACTCTGGACCAACCACAGTTCGTCGGAGCGATTCGATAGGACGAAGAGCTCCTGGTGAAGATGAAACCATGCCCCTGATTCCAACCATCTCACCCTTTTTGTTCCTTTCATCTTAGCCCCTGTGAGCGCTCCCAAGTGGGACCCAGTACGTGTTCTGTGAATTCTCTCTTCACCCTTAGGGCAACCCATTGAAATAGGCATTGTCCTCGGCCCTTGCCACCAGGGAGCTGTTAGGTAACTTGCTCCGAGTCACACTTAGGTGATGGAGAATCTTTCAAACCCAGCTCAGTCTGACTCTGGGGTTCAGAGGCTTTTCTGCCACTTCCCACTCCAAGAGTTGCTTCTGCTGGTACCAGGAGAGTCTGTACAAGTTGGCCCCTATCTTTTTTTCACCTGTGTCTTATTTTATGTGGGACACTGGGGTTAAGAGGATGAGTTGAAAGTAGATTGACTGAGTCTAAGTCCCACCTCCACTACTAGGTGCACTGCTGCTGCTAAATCGCTTCAATCGTGGCCGACTCTGTGAGACCCCATCGACCGCAGCCCACCAGGCACCCCCGTCCCTGGGATTCCCCAGGCAAGAATACTGGACTGGGTTGCCATTTCCTTCTCCAATGCATGCATGCATGCTAAGTTGCTTCAGTCATGTCCGACTCTGTGCGACCCCATGGACAGCAGCCCACCAGGCTCCTCTGTCCATGGGATGCTCTAGGAAAGAATACTGGAGTGGTTTGCCATTTCCTTCTCTAACTAGGTGCACTATCTCTGTGCAGACAAGGATCTGAAGGATGGCAATAAAATACCCCTCCTTAAACGCTGAGTTGAAACTGCTTTCCCATCCATCATATTTTGCAAATTGTTCCCTCAAATATTGAGAACAACTCAAAGTAGGACTCCATAGAGTTTCTGTAAATTGCTTATATTAGTGTTAGTATTAGGGGTCATGTAAACCTTTCTGTGTTGCCTGTGAGTCAAAGGATTTCTCTGTTGTTTTTCGCTTTGAAAGTGATAGTCACTCAGTTGTGTCTGACTCTTTGCGACCCCATGGACTGTAGCACACCAGGCTTCTCTGTCCATGGAATTCTCCAGGCAAGAATGTTGGACTGGGTAGTCATTTCTCCAAGGGATCTTCCCGACCCAGGGATCAAACCCAGGTCTCCTGCATTGCAAGCAGATTTTTTACTGTCTGAGCCATTTGATTTAGCCATTCCCTTCTGTTGGATGTTCACAGGCCAAAGGAGTGGTGGTCAGAGCCTGGACTCTGAAGTTACTTACACCCCTGGTTCCTACCCTGACTCTAGCGTTCAGCTGCCTTGAGCAAGTTACTTGACCTCAGAGTCCATTGCTAAGTGGGAAATTTGGGACCTGGTTGCTAAACCATAGGTAGCTTGAAATTGGCTATTAGTGGCCATTTCCACCATGGAAATCAGCAGATGTTAAAAATCAAGTTGTTGTTGTTTTTTTTCTAGGAGAGCTGGTTTACCAGCATACTTATGTATCCATTTTCCCATCTGTACAGTGGATTTCATAGAGTTGTGGAACTAAATATAAAAAAGCGTATATATAATAAAATATTATATATATATATGTATAAATATATGTAAAGTCCCCAGTACAGTGCCTGGCATAACTGAGTATAATGGTTAGCTGTTATCTTTTCCACCTTTTTCCTATTATAAATAGAGCTGCTTTGAACATCCCTACACAGGTCACTTTTGGGGTGAGGTCTTCCAAATAGAACAGATTATGGATCACACATGGTTTTAGGGTGCTGTTGCATATGTGCAGATTGTACCCCAGAAAGACTGGGATACCAGTTTTAGGGGTACCAGTGGAGTGTACCTCTTTCAGAGTAATACATTTTAAGGCTGGTGAAATGTGGTTAGGTCGCTGATAGAAAGATCAGTAGCTAAAAATCATGGATTGGTGTTAAATGTCTGGCTTCCAGGAGCCTGATTTCTTTATGATTTTTAGGGTTAACATCTGTCTCTGGATAGGAAAGGACAAACAAGCCTCTGCCAGTTTGGTCATCACCACCCAGCAGTGAGAAAAGGGGAATGTGGGCCCCGAGGCAAAGGCACTGGGAAGCCAGCCAAGTGATCCAGGGGACCCTGGACTGAACTTTTTTTTTTTCTTTTTTGGTGATTCTAAATTATTTTCCTAAAGTGGCTGTCCAAATTGTATAAGCATCTGGCCCCTCAAAAACTCGATCCATCCCTGCTGAACTGTGACTCGGACCTGGCTGCAGTCCTGCCTCCCAGCTCCTTTTACTTCAAACCTTTTCCATTTTTCCACAAAATCTCATTGGAGACCATGTCTTTAAACTGAGGTTTGGCACTCCCAACCCTTAATTCCAAGTTTCGAAGTGTGATTCAAAGTGTGAATGTTCTCCTTTCTGAGGTTTCTCAAAGTGTGTTCATGAACCACAAGGGGGTGGGGGTGGTCTGATAAAATGCAGCTTTCCAGGCCATGACCCAGACCCCTCCTCTCTCTGATTCTGTCTTGGGCACCCAAGGTGGGAGGCAGTGTTGGCTACATTTTTGACAAGCGCTCAGTTGATTCTTAGGCTACTGAAGTGTGAGGAACCCTGGATGATTCCCCGCACCCACCCTGCCCCCCACAATGACTTGTGATGTTGATGGTACCTGGGATGCTCCTCACTTGAAAAAAAAAGCCAAAGCCATAGCCTTCCACCACCCCGTGTGACCAGACCAGGACTGAACGACCGGGGGAATTTCCCCACCCAGCCCGGAGCCTGTTATACATTATCCCATTAAACCTCTGGGACCAGCTGCAGATTTATTGCTGGGCTTAAGTTTTTATTTAAAGATGACAGTTGACATAACAATTTAATGTCTTTGTTATAACAACCCGACAGCAGGACTGGCTTGGCTGCTGGGGGATATTTTCCCTGCAGAACATCACTGCGCTGGCCTGTGGATTCAGAGAGAAGGAAGGAGACAGAGAGGATGGGCTGGGAGAGGGGCATCGTTTATACATGCATGTTCCATGCTGGCTGAGTCCTCAGTGCCAACTCTGAACACGGGCACGGGCAGCTTGCGGACTGGTGGGTGCCAGGTGCTCGGGGTGCTTTACTTGTCTTCACAGACTTTGTATTGGAACCGATGTGGTTTTTTCCCCTCACTGTTAGAAATTGTGGAAACTAGGCAGGTGCTGGGCTGGGCCATGTCCTCCGGTTTCCTGGGTGAACTGAGTCACTTCCCTCCCTGGGGTTGAGTAATCCCCTTGGGCTCCTGCTTCTGGGCTTTGGGAACTTGCTGTTTAAATTGCACTAAATTTACTCCCACCCGTTTCTTCTGCTTCCCGCAGATAGCTCTCCAGGGCAGCAACCTTGGGGGTGGCAGTAGGGGGCAGAGGGGCCCGCGTGGGCGACAGCAGCGGCTCCCCGATAAGAGCTGTCAGGAGGCGTCCACTGGGGCGAAACAGTGCCTTGCAGGCTTCCGGGGACCAGTTTCCCTCCCAAGCAAGTACCCTGCTCTCGAGGGCCCCGCCCAGGGCCTGTGCTTCGGTGCTGTTGCCCCTCATCTGGGGTGCGCTCAGGGACCCCCGCATCTGGCCTACCTTCTCTCCTGGTCCCCCCTCCTCTGTCCCGTGTCCTCCCAGAAGGCCAGGAGACCCGCTTTCCCAGACCTCCTGCCTCCCTCCCTCTCGGCACCAGAGACACACCTTCTTGTCTCTGCTTGGATCATGCAGAGACCGCCAAGGGACAGAGACAGTCTGGAGCCTCCTATTTGAGAAGGACTCAGAGCCCTGACCCGAGCCCAGAGCTGCTGGTGTGACCTCACGCAGTATCCATTTTGTCCTCTTAGCTCACCTGTATTAACATTGAGAGTGAGTGTGACGTGCTGGCTTTTCTTTTCCCTTCCCTGCCTCCCTGTTGCCTTGCTTCACCTCCTTCCTTCCTTTTTTCCTCCTTTCTTTCTCTCCCTCTCCAATCAGGACATTAAAAGCCAACAACACCATCATCAACCGTCTTTCAGTTCAATTCAGTTGGTCAGTCGTGTCTGACTCTCTGCGACCCCATGAACCGCAGCACGCCAGGCCTCCCTGTCCATCACCAACTCCCGGAGTCTACCCAAACTCATGTCCATGGTGTCAGTGATGCCATCTAACCATCTCATCCTCTGTCATCCCCTTCTCCTCCCGCCTTCAATCTTTCCCAGCATCAGGGTCTTTTCAAATGAGTCAGCTCTTTGCATCAGGTGGCCAAAATATTGGAGTTCCAGCTTCAACATCAGTCCTTCCAATGAACACCCAGGACTGATTTCCTTTAGGATGGACTGGTTTTATCATCCCACATGTCTTTATCATCCCACAAATGAAGGATGTTTCAACACCCCCAGTAGTAGGAAA